TCAACAAATTATTTGAACAGTTTAAAGGACTAGTAAATTATTAACAAGTAACACAATTAATGCATACTAGTTTTTGAAGGTTCTCGTGTAATAATCCTATAAAATATTAATAATACATTTGAAATATTAAAATTATGATTGAAATTGAAAATTTAATATTTTAATTATAATAGTTCATAAAAAACTTAGTATTCGAAATTTACATAAACATGTTAAATGTTTCAAATTTGTCATCTCTCTCCTTTTAAATAAAATATAATATATAGAGCAAGCTAAAATTCTAGATGGCAATCTATTCAAAACAAAATATATTTATACATTATTTTGGTATATAATAAATAGTATAGTAATGGTAATTTGGTATATGTATAATATAAATTTATAAATTTGCGCTGGTTCTTTAAATTAAAAGAAAAATATTTTTGTTTGCAATTAACCATTGTGATTTATGCAGCCAAATTGTCGATTTAAGAAATGATGAAAACTTAAACTATTCATTCAATTATTATATATATATATATATATATATATATATATATATATATACGTTTCGATACTGTATGCATGTCATCATTTAGCAGCTCTAAGAAATAGTTTAACAAGTTAAACATATTTTTACAAAAATATCTTACTAATAATATGCACACCATACCAGAAAAAGAAACATTGTTGTGTTATTAATATATATAATTAAGCAAAAATAAAAAAAAATATATAGTATAATTTATTCAAAGAATATTATGTAGCTTTTTATAAAATTATACTGTATTTTTTATAAATTTTGTTCTAATTACTGCACATTTTTTGGAACTGTTTTTTCTGAAATGATGACACACATACAATATCAAAACGACAAAATAAATAAAAATGTATCGTTTTCCATTTCGACAATTTGCTTGCAAAAATATCAAGAATATATATCAACATCAAACAAATTAAAGTATATTTCGCGTAATTGAATTTATTTTGAAATAAGAGTAAACATCAAAATAACTATAATTGATTATATTGATTAAATTATGCTTTATTTATTTTTAAAGAACTAACAAAACGTTATTTTTAGGATAAAAAGTATGTTTATGTAGATTCCAAATAATATTTTTCCATGGAGTATTATTATTTTTAATTAGAGTTATGATTAGTAGTGAGATTTTCAAATGTAAAAGAATATATTTTCATATGAATAAGAGTAGATAGTTAAAATTTTTCTGAATAAACATAATGCTTTAGATATTTAGAAATTTTGTGAATTGAAAATTTACTTACAATTAGGCGTTATATGCTTAAATATACTTTGTAGCCAATAAATCGTTTTACTTTCAATAAAATAATCATATGGAATAAAAAGGTACATAAAAAAACTGATAAAGAAATTATAGATCACAGCGATTATAAATTATGTTCAAACGAAATTTGTTTTGAAATTTGTACAATACACACACACATACACACACACACACACACACATATATATATATATATATATATATATGTATGTTAAAATATTCAATTTATTTTTTACGACGTATGAATACTCGTGATCTTACATGATATCAGATTATAAATTTATCTTTTTTTAAATATACGAAGTTTGCTCACATATGCTAATAATATTTACTATAATGATGGATTTAAAAATTATCGTAGTACCGATAAACGTGCCTGACAGATTTCAATCGTGATATGTCCGGTAATAATATCAGTTCTATTGTAAGTTCTCGAACAGATTTGGTAAGGAAATATAAACATAGGAGAGTTATATATCAAATATTAGAATTTTGAATTAATAATTTGCAAAAATACCATTAGTCAAAGATTTTATCTCGAATTTGTGCCTTCATCAAGGCACCAATATGCTAGAAATTATAGGGTTGGAAGTCAGGTACGAGGAAAGACAACCCCATCCCAACTTTTTGGCCCAAAACCTTTTGACTATTAACTTTGAAAAAGAAAAAAACTTGAAAAACACACTTTCTTAAAAATCTCTGGTAACTGTATTATTATCAACTATGGCATCTTCATATTTGTATCATTTTTTATATAGAAACTTATTTTTACTCTTACTCATTTCAATTTTATATTTAGAGTAGAATTAATACTGATAATATCTACTCATTGTCCTTTAATTATCTATTTTCTTCATAATTTTTGCTAGATATTTACTGAGGAGAGTTATAAATTATATGGTAAATATTTTTTTCGAACAGCAGAGTAGTCCTTGATGATATGGTTGAAAATAACGTAGGTCCTTATAGTAGTATGTTATAGTAATATGTTATATATTCTTATCCAAAATGATGAATTGTTTTCAAAAATCAAAACTGATGGTTGACCTAATGATACTACAATTCACAGCACAACGCATTTAATAAAACACATGTTTTTCATATTAGGATAATGATGAACAGTGTCAATGTACACCTGATATCAGAATTCTGAAGTGCAGATCAAGTGCACATCAAATTAAAACATATATACGAAAATCAGTATAAATATCTTCTCAGAATTTTCTTTGATTCCATAAAAATCTAGTATTATTATTATTTATCTTCATGTGCAAAAAATGTTTGTGCGATATCGAAACATACACGACAAGGACAAGATTTCATATCAGGCGGACCATGGTCGCGATAGATATTGATGTTGGAAAATTACTATATGTTATTGCGATTTTTTTTCAAATATGTCATATTATGACTTGTCATAATTGTCTTCAGAAATGTAATTATAGCGATAAGAGTTACTAGTTTTCAAGTAACACATTCTTGTCGATTTTAAATCCATTCAACAATAAGCAAATGCCATTTCAAACCTAATAAAAGTGATAGTAGTTAAATTAGTTCTTATTCGCAGATTTTATCCAAACAAAAATGCTAGTAATAATCAGTGTTACAAATATTTCGAAATAATTACGAACAATTAGTGCTTCATAATTACATATGAAGCAACTAATCTATTTTTAAAAGATTGTATTGGTATGAATAACTTAGTATTTTAAAACCAATTCACGAAATGTTCAGGAAATACACTTCAATAGACGTGACAATGGGCTATTCTAATTTGAAAATGTCATAGCACGGATTAAAGTGACATAATGATCTAGTTTGGGAGAATATTATGTTGTTGCATTAAAATCTTTAAGTATTTTTAATGCCAAACGAATTTAGAGTTTATGCAAAATGAAAATGAATATTAACATACCTCAACTTCTGGATCCAAATCATAGAGTTTTTAAATCTGCGATATATATGTATATATATGAAGAAGCATGAAACACGAAACCCTGAAACCAATCATGAAATTAAATGTTAATCACTCATTGTTCATTTAATTTTCTTAATAATATATAAAATAAATATAATAATTGTGATAACTACAAAAATTTATTTGTATAACTTTCTTTATTTACTCATCTTAAATAATTTCAATAAATTGTATTATATATTATGAGTAAAGCATTATTTATCCATACAATTATAAAGAAAATAAATAAGTTAGTGAACTATGACCAGTTGGTCATAAAATTTTCCCCACACTAAAATTTTCTAAAATTTATGATTCCGAGGAAACAAATAATATTATCAATTTCACATTTCATATTTGAGAAGGCATTTATAATAAAAAAATAGACAAGCAAAACAAAAATTTCTATAAAAGTATTTGTATATGTTTGGTGATTACAAAAAAATATGGCTTCTAGTAAAAACAATAAAAATGCATATGTTTGAGTATAATATGTGCAGTGAGCAAGATTTTATAATATATTTATTTTGGCAGTAATTAGAACATTTAATAAGCTGTTGTATAATATAGTTTAATTCTATCAACCTTAACAACTAAATGGTTGTCCTTCTCTTCATAAGAAATTTTTTACTTTTACTATTGCTTACTACAACGCTACGAACCCCACCCAGACAAAATCGCTAATTTATCATAAAAATATATGTAATATAAAACTTAATTCAAATTTAGTCGGTTTTATTTCATTTATCACATGTTTTACATAATATTTACCATTTATTTAGTGGTCCACAACAATTGAACAATTGCATCCATCGCTCTATAAAGGGCGTGCCACTGTAGCGATTAATCCATTCATTCGATTTTGACCTTAGAAAAACTTTGTGTAAATAATACGTAAGGTCAATGTTACTAAATTTCTAAAACGGTATTGGCATAATTCAATTTTTCAATTAAGCAAATATAAAATATAAAATTACCAGGTTGCCCAAAAAATATTTAAACGAAATGAGCGAATGATCTCTTACTCTAATGAAAATCGTCTTTCGTGGGTATAGCTGCATATATATAATAAAAATATCAACAAATACTTTGAGTATAGTTAATTAATCATAATTGGATTGGACAACTACTGGGTCGCCATCGATTCAAAAATCCATATAATAAAAGTCAAAACAATCATAAATTCCACAATTTCTCCCAGAAAACCGTTTTTTAAACTATCAAACTCTATTTGAAACTATAATGTCTATTATTATTAAAAATAATTTTAGGTAAAATTTTCATTTCAGGCAGTGTGTCTCACGTGTTGATATCTGTAGTCACGTTGTCGTATTTTTTATGGACAGTTTTTCGTCAATTGATATACACACAGTAGTATAGACCGAAAAGAGTTGTATCATTATTATTCATACTATAATCAGAGTAGTTGACTCATTTATCAAACAAATTGGAGCACGATTTCTATTTTTGGCAAACTGTTCTAACAAGTTCACTAAACATATTTAAAAATATGTATATGTATCAGATCAATAAATTGTATTATATATTCTATTTAAAAATAAATAAGAGTACATTTATTTATTTGTCTAGTTAGTGTAATTTATACACATATTGGTAAAGTTTGCGTTTTCGATAAATCCATTTTGTATTGTACACTTACCATAGAATCTTATTTAGCAGTAATGAAAATTTGCAAGAGCCAAGCGCATTTGAATGATTTTATGAATTGAATGTATGAGTATTTTTATTATTTTCAGCCCTGTTCTCCAAATATAATTTTCCTGATGATCCATCTGCCCAGTACACAATATTGTCCAAGTTGACGGATTTTTGCGGAAGATCTGTTTTCAACTATACAGAAGCAGATGACCGAGCTCCATTTGTTTGGGACTTCTACCATTCTTTTTTCTTTTCGTTTACGGTTTCCAGTACTGTAGGCAAGTTAAACATTATAAAGTAAACAAAGTAGAAAAGTAGATATAATAGTAGATATAAACAAATTTGAATTATTTTATAAACGTAGTACATTTTATGAATAACTTTGTTGTAATGCCCGTCGTGCTATAACGGTTAAGTACGTGAACCGTCACAAATTAGTTCCGGGTTTGTATCAAATCTCGGCTAGTTTGATATCAGGCAGTATGATATCAAATTTTCACTTGGGATTATACATTACAAATATAATCTCAAGTGAAATTAGCCTTTCATGGGTATTGCTGCTCAAAAAATATGATAGGACTTCTAGGATAAGACAACTACTAGGTTGCCTTCAATCTTAATAAGTCCAAATGTCATAATATGACATAATATAAGTTACTAAATGTTTGTAATATGAAGAAATTGTAAAATGAATAAAATAAATCTAAAAAAACTTTGTTTCTCATACGGAATATGCTAATTACGTGAGAAATATTAATTACACAATTACATTTTTTTTAAAATTGAAGTTTTTTAAACTGTTATTTGTATTTTTGTACCAATTTTGGGTAAAGGTAATTTTGTATTTCAAGCACAATAATGATAAATGCATTTTGACGAGGTTTCTTACGCATAAAACCCAAAAAATGTAAATCCGCGATGAGAAATACTAAAATATTTTGTTTAAAAATTATAATTACGTATGAGTAAGTATATAAGCGCCAAATTAAATGAGTACCAATAAATGTTATTATCTGAAAAAATATTTATCAAACAATTATCTTAAAAACATTCGATTAATAATGACGTTGTTTTAAATTAAATAGTTAAAATAATGGTTAAATAGTTATACATCGCAAACCTATTTTTAATAAATTGCTAAACTTCATAGGCATATTTTAGAAAAATAAATTATTTAAAAAATGTATTTGCAGATTTTGCAAAGTTAATCACAATAATAACAATAAAAAAGCTTAATAATTATTATACTAAGTATATATAGTAGTAAAATTTTTACTATAATTTTATTACACAAATAATTTGTTATTAGACTAACTGCCCCCATTTTTTATTTTGACTATAGTATTTTATTCATATCAATTGATACAACCTTAGGTACTAGATTATCCGAATGAAGATAATGATATACATGTATACTTTTGAGAAAATTTACATTAACATTCTAAAAAGTCTCCACAATTTAAAATATGACAATGGTTCATGTTGACATTCGTCTCATATAGGTGCTACAAATTATTAACTACATATGTCGCTAATTGAATCACGTGCTAAATAATTTGTCCGTGATGTCGATGTCGAATACACGTCGGAAGAATACAATATTAATATAGGGTGCTTCGGTATAAAAAACACAAATCCTTTTAAATTAAATAAAAATAATCATATGAAATATTTCAAAAGAATACTAAAAAATTCCTAATAATACCGCACTTGAATCAGGTGCTATGATGGTAGCTGTATTACACTAATGTTCGTGGTTATTTGCCTAGAACAAATAATAATTATAAATAATTAATAATATTTTAACCGTAAATAGTAGTCCATGGTTTTAACTAGATATTATTTCCAAATTTAGTAAAAATATTTTTTATTTAAGGTTATGGAAACTTGGCACCTAACAGTACCTTAGGTAGGATGATCATGATATTCTATGCCTTATTTGGCATGCCTGTTCATGGTATCCTATTGACACAGCTTTCAAATTATTTTGGAAGAACGGTAAGATAATACGAATTGATATAATATAAAAATCATCTTATTTATATCTATAATAAAGTATCTATATATATTTATATAGTATATATCTATAATATTTTTAATCTGACACCCTCCGTTTTAATTTAACCCAAGCCATGCATCCCTAGTCTTCGATGAATGTATAGATTCGTAATTAGTTGTAATTATTTTAGAAGTAAACTAATGCAGATATAACCAGTTTTACCTACATTATACTTTTCAGTTTACCAAGCTGTACAAAAAATACAAAGCGCACAAATCTGCGACAAATTCAAACTACGAAGTTCTAAGACTCGGTTTAGCTGGACAAGTTCTTCTGTACCTTATTCCTGGTGTAACGTTCTTCATCTTCATACCAGCTTGCTTGTTCGTTTTATTTGAAGATTGGGATTATGACATCGCAGTTTATTATGCTTTTGTTACTTTGACAACCATTGGATTCGGAGACTATGTTGCTGGCATGCAGGTAAAAGAATTCTGGAAAGATAATAATAATAAAATTGTTGGTATAAATTAAAATAATTATTTATATTTTATTACTCAGGATAAAGGATACGGTGCCTATTTTGTTATGTACAAAATATTCTTAATATTTTGGATGACATTTGGACTTGGATATATTTTGATGTGCATGGGTTTCATATTGAGAGGACTTAAATCGAAGCGACTTGCACGCCTGGAACATAAACTTGCCAATAATCTTAAAATAACACAGGAACGTATTTGGAATGGTGTTACGAGGGATGTCGGATATCTGAGAAGAATATTGAATGAATTATATTTAGTTAATTTTAAGGTAAAAATATAAAATTGAATTTTTAATATACATTTTGGAAATTCTCATTATCCAAATTAAACCATATTAAATGTTGTCTTATAAAGTGTTAGTTACCTTTACCTATAAACTTCATTATTCTTGCAGCCAGTCTACAAGGATAATCTGTCTATAGCAATGTTAGCACATGGTCGCAGCCAAAGTTGTCCAGATTTAACCATGTATTCAGAACCTTGCTCTCTGCCATGTAGAAGACGTGCAAATTCTGAGAGCCAGTACAGCGACCTAGATACAGTATTGCCTGACCTAGTGCGGGTTCAGTCCGACTCTGAACTAGACCGAGTTGACAAGAATCGCACTTTCGGCCACCGCGGATCAATTGTGCAACCTTCGGAGCTATTGGCTTGCGTGGTCGGTGCTCTTGGAGATCTCGCCGAGAGAGAAGAAAGTGCTGGTATCCATGGATTTGATGATGAGGACATATTGGCTTCAGAAAGAACTGACAGCTTATGGAGCATGGAGCCTAAAATTCAAAGAAATCGTGCAGCGAGTGAATATCGCATCAGAGTACAACGTCCAGAGTACGTCGATCCTTGCAACGAATGGACATGGTCTGGCCCTGCTGCTAATGCTAAGCTGAAAGAATTGCTGCAACTACGAAATTCAGGAAGAGGTTCCATTTCGTTCCCTATCCCCGAAAAGAAGGTCGCACCACAAGTACCTCCAGAACCGCCCACAAAAAATCTCTTATCCCGCCTCAATCCTTTCAAATCCCGCCGCGGAAGCTGTATACCCGCTATTACGGATGCTGAAGCAGGAGGATTTGACGCTGTTAAATATATACAAAACACACAGAAAGGCAGACCCAGTTTATTCTCTTTGCCTCCGGATGAAGGTAAAAGATCACTTCTCGAAGAGACTTCAATTGCAGATTTATTACGAGCACTTAATACACTGCACGAACAAGACGGTAAATATATATTACAAAGAAGTAATATATATGTTACTAACATTGATGTTTGTGTATTCATGTTGCACATTATACAACACTAGCTTTTACTAACAATTTGAATGTGATAAATATTAAAATGTTGAATTTACTCACGAAGCTAATTATTTCATTCACGTGCTAATAACAAACCACTTATTACAATTATTTTATAAACCAAATTCGATTTACATTTTTGTCAAAAATACTAACACAATCAAATATCATAATGAAAATGAACCATATCAATCTTGTATTAATAACGTAGTTTGAAATACACCTAAGTCTCTTTTTACACGGTAGATTGGTTCCAGAAGAATCCGTGTAAAAAGAAAACGTGTAAAAAAAGACATTGATCTTATACAAAAATGGGTGATTTGTTCCTAATCTCTTAAACCTATTAAAATTAGTGAAAATCAAGAATTTTTAAGAACAAGAATTCATGTTTATTTTAGTTAGTGCTATTCACATTTGCTTTGACCAGTAAAAATTGTTTGTACGCGCTAAAGGGGAATTCACTTAAATCTTTAAGCTAGTGTTCGCAAACTATCGATACTATCGATGGTTTCAGACTTTTTTCTTTCATAAATACTTTTTTGTGATATGAACATACTTCGCAAAAATTAAATTTGACAAAAAAAAATTTAAGCACATAAAATTTCAAATCGTGCTAAATGGAATAAAATCGTGTAAAAAAGTTAAAAATATTCAATTTTCAAACCGTGTTATATCAAAACCGTGTACAAAAAGACCGTGTAAAAACAGACTTAGGTGTATATACAAAATATTTTTAAGATAAATTATCAAAAAATTAAATCATAAAATATACATTAAGAAACTATTTCAGTGACTATTAAATTACAATAATCATCAAACGATCAGAGTTGCTTTTGGTTACTAATATCATACATGTATCGTGCTAAAACAAGTGTCTTGATAACCTTTATGTAATACATGTAAATAATTTAAAATTAATTTACTTAAAAAATATATCTTTATTTTAATCTATTACCTTACCTTTTAGGTAATTTTGAGCCAAAACGCAAACTTGGTACGGCAAGTATGACCCCACCTGAGATGCCTATGCAACCAAGACCTCGACGTTTCTCCTTACGTCCAGCTGGCTTTATAACGGCACCAACAACTTCAACAAGTCGTCGGCCATCGGTTGGTCTCAGCCCCTTGCAAGTTCGCAGAAACAGCCTTCTTCCACCACCGCCATACATAGAAGATCCATGGTCCAGAACCCCAAGGCGATACTCCGTTCGTTTGGACGAACCAATAATGAGATCCGAAAGAAGAGCTTCATCCCGGTTTGAAGATTCTTTACTACGAACAACTGGCAGGTCTTCCATGCGTTTTGAAGACTTACTAGAAAGGAGCCCTCGAAGATCTTCTATCCGTTTCGACGATCCTTTAGAACGAACTGCAAGAAGATCATCAATAAGATTTGATCAGCCTTTAGAAAGATCATCTAGAAGATCATCTATAAGATTTGATGAACCTTTAGATAGAACATCCAGAAGAGCTTCTATACGATTAGAGGAACCAGCTTTTAACCGATCAACTAAACGATTTTCCGTTCGTCTTGCTCCAGAGGTGAGAAGATCATCTTTGCGGCAAACGCCTTCTCCATTTATTGCTGCTAGATTGGAAGGTAGAAGATCGTCTTTAAGACCGTCTACTCAAATTACGGGTCCAGTACAAAGGTCTTTAAATGCTCGATTGAGATTGAAAAGTACCAACGATGAAGACACTTCTGAAAAGAAAGAGTAAGCAAATTAGTGATATATAAAAATTATGTTTTGTGACAGCAAAATTCTATGAATTTTATGCCAATTGAGGAACATAATTTGTTAAGCCATTGCATTGCATGCAATATATGACAAACTGAAAAATGTGTCTAAATACCTTATTGAGCTTGTAAATAAATAAGTTATGTATTATAAGTTAAAAATTTAATGACATTGATAATCAATTTCTAGTAAATATTAATTATTATATAAAATGAAATATGAACAAAGAGAAGCGAATAATTAACAAATGCTCCATATATGTAAATATAGATAAGAAATAGTTTAGAAAGAGAATGCATGATGGAAAACAGTGAAATAAGATAATAAATATGTTATTTATCTTTCACTCATTCGTTATTCATTTTCATTAACTAATTATAGAAACAAAACTTTTTATCGAAACAATTTTCCTGTAAGTGTGATATCAAAATGATACGTCTTTAAATGAAAGACGTTTATAAGATTAACTGTTTTGGATACAGTTAAAAATCTACATTTATTAAATAATATAGTTATGTACAACTCATTTATATATTAACATAATATTTTAAATACACATACTAAAACTACAATAAGCATGTAATATCAAATTTAACGAATTCATTGCGTAGATTTATCGCTTCGAACGCGCTTTACAAAATAAACGCGAAGCACAGATTTATGTATATGATATTTTTACACTACAATATATTTTTAATCAAAAGCTGGAAGCTGAAACTGGTATGTATATACAAAATATATTATCCATATTTGTTGATTTACACTTTTTCTAAATAATCTTATGTAATATTTTACACTATATCATAGATATAATTTTTATATTTTATTTATAGTTTAAGTAGTAAACTGAATATCAAACTATTATAAATATTAAAGGATTTAGTGTCCCTTCGACTTAGATTTTTTTCCTTTTTATATTTTGAAGATTTTTTCAATTACAAATGTGTAGGTCATAATAAACTATGGGGCCAATTCTCTGGTGAAATAGACCATAATGCCATAACAACATATGTTATGTATTTGCAGCACAGTCAGGTTTTTTAGATATAAAACCTAGCTTAAGAAAAATAAATTTGTTTTTCCTTGTGCAAAATGGTCTCGTATCAGAGAAGGTGAATTCTATACAAATAAATTAAAAGGGTTAGTAAAACAATTTCTGATGTTGTTGTTCCAAAAGAGTTATATGAAAAAGTTACAAGCTTTTATGGCTATTTATTTACAACTGGCCATAAAAATTATATAGAATTGATAGAATTATACAAAAAGAAGATTAATAAAAACGTTTAATTCATCAGATCACTTCTGATAAATAATAAACTCAGTGATAAAATCTTATGAGACATATTCACTTATAAAATAAAATATATTTATATGCAAAACTTTATAAAAATAATTGCAATGTTTGTGAAACATTGAAGATTGTTAGAAATTATGTTTTTGTTTATTATTGCCATGTCTATTATGTTTTCAATTATGATAAATTGCTTAGAAAGTAGATCGATTTGTAAATTTCCTTCAGTAAATATATATCAATGTTTAAAATAATCAGTACAAAAAATCAAAATATTGTACCATGGATTTGAATTAAACTATATATCTTTCCATATTCTTGTTTGCAAATATCATTGGTTTCATTTCTGTAAACACAAGAACAAATTAATAATTAAGGATAAAAATGGTTTAAAAAAACAATTTTACCATAATGGCTTCTATCTGATGTGTCATTGATAACACATACGTGAAATTAGGTTTCATATGTAAAACGCCTGACTTTGCACAGGAAATACATAGCATTTTGGTAGTTTTTACAATTGTAACTACCAATTCATATAAAGGCTAGACAGTAACATAGCGTTACCATATCATTTCTATTTTAATGGAGAATTGGCCCCTATATTAAATTTCGGTTCATCTCCAAAATAAAAAGGGTTTTAGTTTCTCCAAGTAGAAGAGGAACTAAAATTCCTGCCGCCATCTAGAACGGCTCAGCGTCTTTTCTATCAGAGATTATCTGATATTATATTATTTATTTTACTTACTAACATTTTCTTAAATTACAATGGTAATATGATTATAAATACCTTAATTGGCTAATGTAAATCATTATATTCTTTCAAGCTTTGTTATAATATAGAGATAAAATATTTAAACAAAGTAAAAAACAATAAAATATCTTTGAACTATATGTTCATGATAAACAATTATAAAAAAACGCGAAAATTTACACAAATTATTTAAATATTTCATTGTTATATGGCACGATTAAAATTATTTTTATTATTTTCATGATTCAAAATCATAAAGTTAATTTAATTATTTATCCAGTAATTTGCATATAAAAGATTTGATTTAAGAAACAAATTAGTGCTATCACACCCTATAATATTTTTTTTTAATTATGACATCAATACTTAAGTAATCTATAAGTATTTTTATATAATTTCAAATCTATATACAAAACACTATTCAATACTTAGAGTAGCGATAATATTTTTTATATATGAATAAATACAATTTGTCAACGTGATAATTAGTAACATGAGATATGTATGATTAGATAATGATAATTTAAGTTATAAATTTATAAACAGCAAACATTTTGTTTTAAAAATAACATTGATGCAAATAAAATGCCAGAACAATATTTTTTAAAATATCCATAATAATTTGGATAAATTCTACAGATATGTCAATATAAAACATTTACTTTTTATGAACATGGTTTTGGTCCGTATTTATCTATTTGCAAAATATATTCCGTAAGGTCATAAAAAAGAAAACAAAAAAATGTGACTTACCCCTTAAGGACCATAATGCCAAAAAAATATAAATATCATTGATACATATCGATCTATTTAATTAATATTAAATCTTTGGTATATTTAAGGTGAGGCCGACTTTTTCTGGGCATCAGGTACTGGAAGTGATCAATCCACGGGACTAAGTTTTCCATTTGTTAGTGAACCATTTTGCTGCAACTGAAAAAATAGATAATTATATACAAATTCTTATTTTGGAAGAATAGCTTGAATTTTTTCAAACTTTCAACTTCTATTATTTCTAAAGTTATGCCTAATTTAATATAAAACATATGTTACATTACAAGTTGGCGTTGGTTTTGAGAGAGATTGTAAAAACAAGAAGGACATCTGATTATCATTAAAAATTATATTTTTTAGATTTCTATAAATTTATTCAATTATATTTGGTTGAAGTGCGGACTATCTTAAAGTGTATATTAAGAGCTAAAACTTTCAAAGAATTTTTTTTTGTCAATTTGGAAGCATTTGAGCCTTTGGGAGCAAAGAAATTAGAAAATATCCACATTCCACATTACCACAATTTGGCAAATATGTAAATTATAATAATAATTACCATGATAGTCTCCTTTACTTCAGGTGAAGTTTCTCTGATTTGCTGGCTTTCGGACTTTGGAGAAGAACCAGAGCCATTAATGTAGATTTCTTGGGTGGGCGAAACTCGTTCGCAGGGACTGTTCTGGGGTTCCTGTAATAAATAGATTATCAAAATGATTAAATAAATATTCAATAATACATTAATTTTAAGAAATCTTACAGAGGCATCTTGATACGCCTCTAATATTACAACTCATAACAGTTAGAAGCAATACTCAATACAGAATCATTAAATGAGATACTAAAATCAGATTTCAATGTGCAACAGAATTAAAAAATTTTGGTTTATAGACCTGCATCAGCCTTCATTCGAAAATTACTTTTTTTCTTAAATACTAGCTTTATTTTATTCTTATCATAATAAGGTATAATAATTTTATTATTTTGATAGTTATTTATAATATAAATGAAAAAATGACTAAATATTAAATTAAAATTGATAAAAAAAATACATCATAAACTATATAATCAGATTTTTAGGGTAAGCATCAATACAGTTAACACAAAACATAATAATTAAAATATCAATTTTATCCTTAACCAACAAGGTTCGAAACTATAATCACCAGGTTCAAAACTTATACATCTTAATAAAATATATTTATTTTTAAATTAAACTGAAATTTAACACCACAATAAAATTATTAAAAGGAAAAGAATTCTTAGTACAAAATAAATATATTTTATTAAGATGTATAAGTTTGAATCTGGTGATTACTGAATGATGACACACATGAAGTGTTGAAACTTAACCATAAAGAGAATAATTGTTTCTTAATTTATTTTTTTATTTTGACGAATGGGCTGTTAAAAATATTATCTTATATATATATATATATATATATATATATATATATATTAGTCGAAAAATAAGTTATTCACAATTCTCTTCAGATATAAAATGTAATAGATAACAAATCATTTTTTCCCATGTAAGTGCTTTCCACTGATAATCTAATTCACCGTTTGATGAAACTGCTTGAAGATAATATTATACTTGCTACGAATTAGTCATTTTGTCAAACCTCTACTTGATTAAACGTATGTAAATGATTCATCACTTCAGCTTTGTTATCTTACACGAAATATCTCAAAAGCCTCAGGTTTGATGGGTCGACACCTTAGACTACCTCGGGTTAAGACCGATCGGTCTTCACGAACCGGATACTTTGCACCGAGATACTTAATTAAGAATTAATGCCCCACACTATTTTACAATGACGTGGGTGATAAAGTAACGATCCTGATTTCAGGATCCAGTTTTTGTGTTAAACAACATACTTCGAATATTAGAAATTATAGAAGAAAAATATAACATAAGTTTTGATTTAATTGGTTAATTTTTAATAGATGTACAATCAATAAAGTTACTTCATGTTGATGTGAATGAATTGCCTCATCCTGTCTTGAGATCAGTGGTAGCTATGAAATTAGTAAATTTTGAATATGGAGTCTTTGTCAATGACATTTTCTTACACAAATTAAAAGTCAAGTAGGAATAAGTCTTAATAATGATAGTTATTTTTTTCAAATTTATTTGAAATTTCAGTGCAACGTTGTATGTATATGATATTAGAAAAAGCTATATAAGATTGTTAGTTTTTGAAAGGCAGTAGAGAAATATTTTCATATTTATATTTAGAAAATCGATAAAGTGTCTTTTATAAATAACATATAAAATTGGCTTTAAAAATTTTCAATCCTTTAGTATAATTTGAATCGTAATTTCCATTTAAATTTGAGAATAATTTAATTACGTCAGAGACCGCATCTAATTTTATCTATATTAAGAAATAACAAACAAATTTTTTAATTGTTAGATAGATTTATGATATTCATGATATTTTCTGATATGCTTAAGTTAATTTAGTTCAGATTTAATATTAATAATTCGTTCAAGGTTCATTCAAGCAATAGTTTTTTTTATTGATTTACATCAAATGTTAAATTTTTGAGTCTAAAATATAAGAAATGACCTCTTCTTATTTTTTCAAGTAATTTGGATTTCTTTTGAATTTAATATATTTTAGAAGAAAAGGTCAAACCAAACGAATTTCTTGAAAGATGTAGATTTTTATAGATGTGTACAGTAAACAATATCTCAAAAATGGATAAAATTTAAGGTAATGTTTTATATGGTAAATTTTTTTCAAATATCAGTAAATTTACAGTTATATTTATAAGGTATTGTGAAAAATATTTGTTAAAATAGTATAGAAAACAATATGGTAAATTTCTTTCAAATATCAGTAAATTTACAGTTATATTTATAAGGTATTGTAGAAAATATTTGTTAAAATAGTATAGAAAACGATATTTTAGTTTAAATATTATATTTTATATATTTTAGATATTAATAATTTAGAATTCACTCCATTAATCCAGAAGTCTTTTGTTTTATTGTTTAGTTTGAATATAATAATTTTGTTTCAAGAAATATTTGATTCTATTTTGAATTTCATAATAACATTTTAGCATTTTCCAATGAGCAAATTATATATTCTTATATAATAATATATTTATCTAGTAAGTTTTAAAAGTGCAATCAAAATAATAAAGACCTGAATCAAGAAATCGTATTTTAACGCGTAACACAAATAAAGATTATGAATTATTACAATTTGATATTTTTAATACTTAATTTCAATCAAATAATGTCGGATGTATTATCCAAAAATATATGTTATTAAAGTAAAACAATCTATTATTATCCTATTAATTTATTTATTTTTACTCGGTGTCGTTTTTTATTCAATTATGACTGTCTTTTTTATATTATTTATTTTTGTACCTCTCAACAATTTTGTTAATAAGACTGTTACAGTTTTGGAAAAAAAATAGATAAATTAAAATTAGATCATAAGCAACTTATGCATAAATAATATTTATTCAATCTTGTCAAGTAAATAATGTATAGTTTAATTTAAAATTTTTGTTTTTATCTTTAATAATTTAAATGATAATTTAGTTAAATAGTTAAATTGTTATTAATATCTGAGAAACATTTTCTTTCGACTTGTTCGCAACTCATACACGAAACCATCCCCAACCACTTCGACAAAACTTGGATCTCGCGCATGAGTGACTTAAGTAAACCTTTTGATAATTAAATTACAAAATGTCTACATCAATATAATACAAACAAACACGTGCATAACTACCCATACAACTGGTTCGTTAATATTTTCTTGAACGTTACGTCTAAGACATTCTAAAACTTCGGAAACCTCAGACCACGAGCAATGTAACGATGATGGATCACTATGCCCGGCCGCGAAAAGTCTCCTTCAATTAATCCTAATCAACGCACGAGTTTTCCTTTCCCCTCGCTTGGCACCTTTCCGCGGTGAAAATTCCGAGACGCCCCTTTCCCCAAGTAAATTTTCCATACTGCGGAATAGTAGGCCAATTAGCGGCACCTAAATTCACATTAAAGAATTTCCCAGTGCTGGAAGCTGTTTTTCCTCTTGCATGGTAATGTGATTTATGATGGACCCGCAGCCGCACGCTTTCGGTTTTGCGAATGTTTTATTATTTCTTTTATTTTCATTTTTGCCGGACTACGTTATTAGATAAAGGGTTGGAAGAAGAAGAAAACTTTCACAAGTAAAATATTATTTTTACACTGGCTTTCAAACAATTCAGGGTATTTAATTTTAGTAATGATATTATATTTTTATATTTTTGTTTTTTGTTTTTTTTTATTTATTGTTTTGTCAATCAAGACTTAAAAAGTCTTATAATACAAAATTGCTTATTTAGGTAATAAAGAGAACAATAATATAAAGTAAACAGTATACATAATAAGAAATAATAATTAAGAAACTAAAGGAAAATTATAAAGTGAAGTAAGAAATAAAAATATAAATTAAACAAAAATGGCGTGGTGAAAGGTGTTGCCGACTTAAATTCGCCGGAACACGCATTTGTTCATTGCAGCGGTAGATCGACGGGCCATTTCCTTTTCAGGCGTCTAGTGGGTCTGGGCAACATTTTGATGGTTGGATTTGCGTGGACTTGTAGTTTGTTGTTGTAGGCTAAGCTTCTTGATATTATTTGTTCATGAACTGTTCTGATATTTAAATCCTTATGTAGGCAGAAGTTGGTGATATACCACGGTGCATTTGTCAGTAAACGTAAGATTTTGTTTTGACACCTCTGGATGATGTTGATGTTGGATTTACTGGCACATCCCCAAAGTTCTATGCCAAAAGTCCAGATGGGGATGATAGCCGTTTTGTAGATGAGGATTTTATTCTCAAGTGATAAATTACTTCTTCTGCCTACCAGCCAATACAGATCTTTTATTCTCAGTTGAATTTGTTTTTTCTTGTTGAGTATATGCTCCCTCCAGTTTAATTTAGTGTCGAGGTGCATACCTAAATATTTTACACTGCTGCAATTCGGAATTATTGAATTATTGAGGAGGACAGGAGGACTATTGTGCTTTCTCAAAGAAAAAATAATGTGTTGAGATTTGTCGGTGTTGATCGAGATCTTCCATTTGTGGAGCCAGGATTCTAGTGAAGTAAGGTAATTTTGGATTTTATCAGTGGCAATTGCAATGTCCATGTTGTTCGAGATTATTGCTACGTCATCGGCGTATGTGCAAATCATCAAATCTTCATCAGTAGGTAAATCTCTTGTGTAAAGAATGTAAAGTAGTGGACTCAGGACGCTGCCCTGTGGAACACCACATTCTATGTGGCGTGTGCTTGAATAGTCACCTTTAACTCTTACGCGAAATTTTCTATTACACAAAAAGGAGTATAGAATGTTGAAGTAATTGGGAAAAGTAGTTTGTATTTTAGAAAGGAGTCCTGTGTGTGATACTTTGTCGAAAGCTTGACTTACGTCAAGAAATACTGCTACTGCATGTTTTTTATGATTCAAAGCATCCAGAATATAGGTGACTGTTCTATTACATTGTTGGGTTGTTGAGTGGTCCTTTCTGAATCCAAATTGGTGGTTTGGGATCCATTTTTCACCTGGATGATCTTCGCCTAGTCTGAGTAAAATTAGTCTTTCGAGAATCTTGGATAAAACTGGTAAAAGACTAATTGGTCGGTACGAACTGGCATGATGCGGATC